AGTTTTGTGCTACTCTGATGTAATGCAGGGATGGAGTATATGGTCCTGCCCTAGGACATCGCAATGTTAATTGGACCATATTTTTTATATGAATTGTGGTTAATTTTGGAGTACTCTTTGGTCCTTAGGGAATACTCTTTACACGCAAGCATGGAGTAGTCGCGATTTTTGCAGGGTAATGCATAATTTCAGATGGCCTACTTAAGGAGAAATTGTTGATTAACTTTCACTATTCATTTTCAGATCATACATTTAATCTGCACTTAGTCCCCTTTCAGACACGTCAAGTCTTGCTTTCAAGTCTGCTCGTTCGTTGGCGAAGGAGGTGGGAAGAGAGGGGAAGAGTACAGATACCTCCGTACCGTCAATTCGTTTCAAGTTTTCTTGTCTCTTTTGAACTTTTCGTTGCTTCCCATTTAACATTTGGAATTTGACACTGAAGGCAGTATAAATGCAAAAAATGGAATACCAAAAAGAAATTATTTTAAGAGAAATCTTGGACGTCACCACCAAATTTATTGAACAAGATAGCGATGACGAAATTGTTTATGGTAAGAGATTGAACTTAAACTTAATACAAACGCATGTACTAATTATTTTTATGAAAAAGGCTTACATGATTTGTGCGAAAAAGCTGCTGCACTACCGGGAAGAATACGAAAACGTATGTGGGTAAAGGAGTGGAGAGCTGAGAAGAATAATCGAGGCTCTTTTGTGTTCCTAACCAAGGAACTTCTCACTTCAGATTCTGGGGGTTTCAAAAGTCAATTTGACATTTTATTAGATCTGGTTAAACCAGAAATCGAGCGGCGTAGTTCGCTGAGAAGAGAAACTATTTCTGCAGCGGAGAAGTTTGGCCGTGACGTTGAGATTTCTTGCCACTGGTATGTTCTGTAATCGCAGGAAAATCAAAGTGTAGTGCATTAAACAAATATATTTATTTTAGGTGAAACGTTTATAAGTTACCAAACACGTTTGTCAACGTCCTTTATTAGCGAGACCATACCCGAAGTGTGCAAAATATTATTTGAAAAATTGAAAGTGCTACACCTGCGTGTACGTAAATTTGTTAGTCTTTCCTAAACATAAATTGTATAAGTTTATTATTTAAAGATGCCAAGCAACTTTGCGGAATGGGAAGCTATAGCGAAAGAATTCGCCATAAAGTGGCAATTTCCAAATTGTTTAGGCGCATTGGACGGCAAGCACATCAACTTTCGGCCGCTGCGGAAGGACGGTGCATTTTATCGTAACTACAAGGGCACTTATAGTGTAATTCTATTGGCCTTAGTTGATGCCAATTGCCGTTTTGTATTTGTGGATGTAGGGACTAATGGGCGTGCGAATGATGCTGGTGTGCTACAACAGAATCGCCTTAAAGAAATTTTAGAAAAAGAACATTTGCCAAAAAGCTCTTTAATTGGAAGGGGACGGAATGTTCCCTATGTTGTTGTAGGGGACGACGCTTTTCCGCTACAAAAGCACATAATGAAGCCATATCCGTATCACACGAAAAATAAAAAGAAACAAATATTTAATTTACGGCTCTCTCGAGCTAGGCATGTTGTTGAGCATGCGTTTGGAACCCTAAGCAATAGATTTCGAGTTTTTTTAACCACAATGAACCTAAAAGTTGACACCGTAGAAAAAGTCACATTGGCTTGTATCGCAATTCATAATTTTCTTTTACAAACCGATAATACATATATCAACACGCCCCTAGAAACTGCAAGTATTAGCAATACCCAGAAGTTTATACAGATGTACCATATAATCCACGAAAAGGCGAAGCTGAACTCATAAGGCAAGAGTTCACAGAATATTTTAACGAAGAAGGCAAATTATAAATTAAAAAGTATAATTTATAAGCTCATATTAATATGTTGTTCCTACCCTATAATACAAATATTATTAAAAAAAAGGTCAAACTTTCGTAAAAATTTCTAGCTTTTTTAATAAGATTTTCCTTTAAAGATTCTGAGTATGCAGTTTTGTAGCCCATTAAATTTTTTTATAAAAAATTCCAACACTGAAGTATCTACAACTTATGGCTTTTTTTGGCCCTTTTTTGTTTGGTAATGGTATTGCTTATTTTCTTCCATATAAAAAAAAGAAAATGCGACTGTAGATGAGTCCGCCGAAAATTCGTATTTCTTTTAGTTTCTAGATGGTAAGCAATCTATGTATGAGTTTTTAATGAAATATCTTTAAATAAAGGGTTATAAAAACGTTTATAAAAAGCTTTATTTTGAAAATTTTTAGTAAGTTTATATTCATACGCTTATAAACAATTTTTTTAACCTTTATTATAAGTTTACACTTTTACGCTTATTAAAAGCTTTCTTTTCAGCATATATTGTAAGTTTATATTTCTACGCTTATAACCAAGGCTCCTTTTCGATTATATTACGCTTACTTTCAAGCGTTTTATAAACAAAAAATCAACGTTTTGTAAGCTTAATGTTTATAATACAAAACTTTAATAAGACTTTCTTTAAGTTTAATTTGCTTGTTGGGTAGAAACAATTACATAACATAAACACAAACAAAAAATCTAAAATTCAGTTCATTTTATAACTTAAAAAAAAGGTTACTTAGTCATTGTACTTTGTACTTTATCAGATTTTAAAACTTTAAAGCCACATTTAAAAATGTCTAAGAGCCACCGCACACCACAGACTTTATCAGCCGCCGATTTAGTTGGGCTCGCTTCAAATAAATGAAGATGTATGGAAGTGCGAACGCTACACCAACTTAATCGCGCCCGACTAAGTAGTTGTGCTGCAATGGAAACACTAGCGAGCCCAACTAAATCGGCGGTCTGTGGTGTGGGGTGGCTCTTAAATGATTTTGTCGGTGGATGGCGATTTTTTTAAATATCAAAATCTTCATCGCTGAAAATACCCCGCATTGATTCCTCTAAAATATCCCGTGAAGGAATCGGAGACGGTGGTGATGCAGTGGAATATGATGACGCAGTTCTTTTTATTATGGTTTCCTGCCAGTATTTATTAATAACACCTTGAACCTCCATAACTGCTTGCGGCTGATACTCCTCATCCACCTCTTCCATCTGCTCAGTCACTTGCCGACCCAACCACTCAAATTTATTTTTATTTGCTTTTCTGTCAGCTATCATTTCGGCTTTTTTGGTACCTTTTCTGTGCTTAAGGGACTGGAAGCGTCATCAGAACCTTCTTCGACCTGAAACATATACAACAAATATGCATACATTGAAATAAATGTCATAAGCATGTTTATATCGCATAAAATATACTTACATTAGTAACACTTTGACGGAATTGCACATGATTGTGTAAAAATTTTAGTTGATCAAAGCACCAAAGCTTCGGACAGTGGACATCATCAACACCAGCGCCACTTTTTTTGGAATTCTTCACCGACCGACATTCTTGCAAATATTGCGTTCGCAAACTTTTCCATTTTTTCTTAAGGTAGTCTACCGTTATGCACCCATCAATTTCTTGCATCTTCGCTAGAATATCATGGAGCGCCATTGCTTTTTTCTGGCGGTCTAAATAGTCCTTGGAGCTCACGGAGTAAAGACATTCATGCTCCTGGTACAAATATATAAATTTCTCAATACTTTCCCTGGTCCACTTATATGCCATTGTCTAAGAAATACAAATAATACAATTTCGCCAAACTCATATTCAATTTTCAGCGTGGGACTTACTAGAAAATATTTTCAAATCAAATTATGACGCTTGTGAAAGCAAATAGAAAACACAAAAGAGAATGCGAAAAAAATTGCTTTCAAGACTTGACGTGTCTGAAAGGGGACTTAAATTGCCAATATTGGCTATTTATGTAAATATGAGATATGTAACCCTGGGCATGAATCACGTAACTTTGAAACGATTGTCGTTCAAACGATACTGACAAAACGATGCCGTCAAAACACTGATTCATGCATTTGTTTTGCTGTTACGTGCTACTGTTACTGTTACGTGAAACAAAACTGGAATTGAGTGGGCAATATGGCACAAACAATCCAACAATTTTTGGTTTTCATGAAACAAGACAATGTCAGCACGATATCGTCCAGACGATTGTCGTCATACATGATTCATGCCCTGTGTTGTACCAAACAACCAAGATTGATTGGTAGGTTGTTTTATCAATCCCACCAAATCCCACGAAAAACAGTCAGCTATTCAGCACAAAATGTATACAAACAAGGAAATGCAACAACAATTTCAAGGAACAAGCAGCATTGCTGCCAATTGTTTGGCATAATTGAACAAAAGTTTCGTTCCTCAACTTTTCTGGACAAAACCTGTAAAACTGTCAAAAAGCAAAACTGCTCTCTGAGAAAGAGAGAAAAACCAAAAAGTACGGGAATGCTTTTCGGGTAAAAACTGGTAAAACTGTCAAATACACCGTGGGCGTCATTTTTTGCTTACATGGCAGTTTTTATCATTTGGCAATCTGCTAAATTATAAGCAAATACACAGGAAAATTAACAAAAAATACCTTCAGAACTTGAAATTTCCTCGCTACGATATATTTAATAAGATGTAAATGCAGATGTACGTTTGTTTTTGCTTATTCATCATTCCAATCGTTTGATCAGCTGGTGGTTTGACACTTTACCAGATTTTACCAGCAGAAACTCTTCGGGCAAAATCTTGCAACTTCTGTCACAGAGAGGGCCGATTTTATTCTCCCATTTTTCCCCTACTTTGCCAGAGAACCGAGTACGGGAACGCTTTCCGGCAAAATTCTGTAAATTCCTGCAACTTCTTGCGAGTTAGGGAATGCAACTAAAGTTGATCTGAAACCCAAGAAAGCTAAGGCTCAATTTCAGATGGCCTACTTAAATAGAGATTGTTGTTTAACTTCCACTATTCATTTTCAGATCATACATTCAATCTGCACTTAAATGGCCAATATTGGCTATTTATATATGAGATATGCAACCCTGTGTTTGTACCAAACAACCAAGATTGATTGGTAGGTTGTTTAATCAATCCCACCAAATCCCACCAAAAAACAATCAGCTGTTCAATACGAAATGTAAAGAAACAAGCAAATGCAACCACAACTTCGAGGAACAAGCAGCAGTGCTACCAATTGTTTGATATATTTAATGGGGCTTTCAGACAAGGCGATTTTTCAGGCAACTTTTGCGTTCAACTCACGCAGGGTTGGATGAAAAAAAATTGAATGGCTGAAAATATACAAATATAAAAACCATATAAAAATATTCGCCATAAAAAGGCGTTTGCATTGTTCAACTTTGCATTCTACTTTTGATTGAACGACCTTTCAACTAATCGCTTTTAACAAGGTTGGTCGCCAGTCAACATTTGGCTATTCAACTTTTTTTTCGTGCAACCCTGCGTGAGTTGAAAGCAAAACTTGAACGCAAAATTTCCTCGTGCGAACGTCTTTTAATCTGAAACCCAACGAAAGTTAAATGCCATTTAAACAACAATCCACAATTGAACGTAAGTGCCATTTAAATATTCAGTTGAAATTTGCCCTAAAAGGCATTTAAACAACAATCTACAATTAAACTTAAGTGTTGTTAAAATATTAATTTTAAATTAGCCCTAAGGGCCGTTTTCTGAAGTAATCTTTAACTTCAAAGCTCACTTTATATATAAAGGCTGAATTAAAAATAAAGCTATATCTAAAGCATTTCTGCTTTCGCTTTCGGTTTTTGACGTATGTATGTTTCTTGGTTGTAAACGAATTTAAAACTGCTAATAAAATGCTTTACTTTAGACACAATCAGGAATTTTTACGCAACTAATTATAAAGTGAGCTTTAAAGTTATAGGTAACTTGAGACCCGAAATCAGAAAGTGATTTGACGTATGCAGACAATAGGGGTCTTCCCTTAAACTCGTAAACCTTGTAAAGCTCGTAAATTTACGAGTCTCGTAAAAGAATTGTCTAAATTTGTATGGAGCTCTATTTATGAGACCCTCGTAAATTTACGAAGCAAATTTGATGCGCAAACGACCTCGCAAACTTCAGTGTTGTCGAGGGGCCGAAATTTTATATTTAGTCTGTTCCAATAGCAGTCCGGTTTACAGGATTTAGTCAGAACTTACAGGAAGTCGTTCCTATTGACATAAAACCTGTAAGTGGGAACACATTTGAGAGAGTAACTGAGCAACTGTTCCTAGTCAGAAGTTACAGGATTTAGTCCGGAGTTTCTTTTCCTGTAAGTTCATGAAAAGTGTCAAACGATCAGCTGATTTGCAGGTGCAAGCAAAAACTAACAGCGGTGAAAGCAAAGTACCTTATATTTGTAAAAAATTGGAAGTAAACAACGAAATGTTTGAATATGTATAGATTTTAATAATTATTTAGTGATATTTCAGCTAAATCAGTGTTGTTCAAATGACATGTAGACAAACCGACTGACGTTTTTACAGGTAATAGTGCTTTTTGCGTTCCTATGCACTTCTGCATCTGTTCTCCTTTTACTCTCATTTGAGAGAGTAAAATTGTAGTTTAACAGTTCCACAGGTTTTAGTCCGTTCAAAGGAACAGACTAATTAGTGGTATTCATCTAAACCGATAACTTTATCAAGCAGGTATTCTTATAAATTTAAGCACTCTGTTACATGAACGCCCCATACTCTCCTTTTGTTTACACTTGCCACAATAGTCGTGTCTTCTTTGGGTATCGAGCTCAGTATCAGTAATTTTATACTACTAGCACGAGGATTAAGAAATTTTGGAAATGACCCCACTAAATGGGGAAAAATATATATTTAGACGAGATAATATTCATTTAAATAAATATTTAACATAAAGGCGATTTATTTGAAGCAAGTTAAAAGAAACAATGGCAGAATGTCTGTTTGTGTATGAATTCATTTATCACTGCTACCAAACCATGCGGCCAAATTATCATTGAATAAAACAAAACGGAATGGATAATAAATTGAACAAGATCTCTATCAGGATGATATCGTTGCTGTTGAATTTGCGTGCAAAATTTTTATGTGGATCCCGATTATTGTCCAGAAACACAGCTGGAGTTGCGACAGAGTTGCATTGGCTTCAGTTTGTCAAGTTTATTCAGTGAAGTCGCTGGAGAAATTTATAAGAAATGTGTAAACGAGTTTCTATACAAATGACAGTTAATTTATAAGGTGTACACAGTTATAGGTTTATACGGTTTATAATGCATTCATAAGGTTTAATGAATACCATTATTAAAATGTATGATATAATAACGAAAATAAACGAAGAAAATAATATGCGAATAAAATGAATGAATTTCATCCACTAGCTGTATTGACTTAGATTTTCTGCTAATTTTAGGGATTTTTATTGTATTTTAGCCAAGAGTGATAGAGACAAGAAGGCGGGATGTTATGGAAAATACTACGAAACAAAAATTGCTTCACAAAATCCTGGTTGATCTGTCAAACAGTCACTTTACTTGCTGTCTCCTTAGGCAAAAGTTTTTATCTTGATTATGTTGTCAGGCAAAAATTTGCCAATGGAGATCGCATATTGCTCTTGGCAAGCAATAATTTACAGAGCTTTTATCTTGATAAATATTGCCAGCAATTTGTTAGTTTGACAGCTACATTTTCATTTACGCGATAACTTCGTGGCGGCAACATTATTTATATCTTCTATATATATAAAATAATAGCCGTTTTCTTTGTTCAGAGTTAACACAAAAACTACTGCATAGATTTAAGTCAAATATTCAGAGGCTATTCCTTGCACATAAGGTCCTTTTATAGGCTACCGAAAAGCTCGGTAGGTGGCGCCGGGGTCGAGTTATTTATAAAAATCGTATTTATGAACCGATTTCTTTTAAATTTAAAATGTAAGCTACCAGCATGAAGGCAAACACGTTTCCCAAAAATATACCCGATAGGTGGCGCGGAAGTCGAGATATTTATAAAAGTCGTATTCATAAACCGATTTTTTTCAAATTCAAAAGGTATAGTTTCAGCATAATGGAAAATACGTTTACCAAAGATCGGAGCCGCTAGGTGGCGCGGGAGGCGAGTAATTTATAAAAGTTTTATTTATGAACCGATTTCGTAAGCATGATGAAAAAAGCACTTGCGAAAAACGGACCCGCTAGATGGTGCTGGAGTTGAGTTAAAAAACCACTCAATAGAGCCCAGTCAAATTGTCGGAGGTTATACCTTGCATATATGGTCCTATTATAGGCTACTAGAAAACACGCTGGTGGCGCTGGAGTAGAGTTGCTTATAAAAGTCGTATTTATTAACAGATTTCGTTCAAATTCGCAGATAAATTCCTAAGTTCCTAAAATTCCTTTGCTAAAAATGGACCGTTGGAGTTTAGGTATTTAGAATTTTTTTTATAAAATCTGATTGGAATTCATAATTCGTATGAATTTCATGACAAGCAAAGGTTTTGCACAAAAGGGACCCAATGGATGACGCTGCACCTGAAATATATAGAAACCCCCCGGGGTTTGTTCTGCTTTGGCTGTTCAGATGGCTAAATCAAGGATGCGTTTAAGTATGCATATAAAGACCGTAAGACTGCGTAAGCGTGATCTTGCATCTACCTCCGATTGACGAAGTTGCGGCCGTTATTACAGCAGTAAGACTCAAAGAAACAAATTCATAAATATTAAGACGAATTGTAAAAGTGGCGAATTGACAAAGAAAGATTCGACCACATCTGTCCAAGAAGGAAAACGATAGGTATATCAATGGGCGCGTTCATAAGTCGTTGCTGTTGCGTAACCGTTGGCTG